GCGAGCACGTGTGTGATTTTCCGACAGTCTAGTCAGAGGTACGCGCAGTTTAATCGTATTTAATATTTCATGCTAATACCAAAATAAAATTTAGAACAAATCGTAGTGATCGTAGGTGTGTAAGTCGTTTACGGTATAAAAAAAATGATCACCCACGCGTTAATCGTTAGTATACAGTAGCTAGAAATTTAAGAACTTGTCTGTAAGAAACCTTCTACGTAAATCAATGGACATTTCATGCACGTCTCAATACGTCTGTGATTTCAATTGTAATTAAGGAAGTTTTATGTAATTTGCACGATTGTCAATATTATCATAGGCCACGGATACTCGATCGAAGTGACGTAGAATCGTTTACAAGACAAAAAAATTTGACATTTGGCTTAGAAATCTATCAACACCTGTCCGATCGCATTTGACTTTTAATAAGTGCCAGGCCAAAAATTAACGCTATGGGTTTGTGAGAATTATCGAGTATTACGCGACATGTCACGAATGGCGGCGACTTCCGAGGCCCAGGAGAATTATTGAGGCCCCAGGAGGGAATGGATTTTCAGAGCGCAATGGACACCTTCGTAGAGGCATGGATGGCTGCTAACACAAAGACGGATCAAGTACAGGTAATCCTTTATTTCCCCTTAGTTTAGACAAAACTTTTTACATGAAAAATTTATTTCTTATACATATGATATAACATTGTATTTTTTTCTCTAATAAAATTTGAGAGATTTTATAAAATATTAAAAAGTAATATATTTATGTGGCAACAATATTTTTAAAAAATTTATGATAAACTTTACTATAATATGTTATCATACTTACAAGAAATGTAGTATTATTAAATGTAGTATATTTTAAAAAAAATAATATTAATTAAAGATATAATTGAAGATATAATCTAAAAGAAAATTTTAATTTTAAAATATAAAAGAAAATATAATGTTATATTATATGTATCAGAAATAAATTTTTTTCTATAAAAATTTAATATTAAATATTATAGATAGAAAAGAAGAAAGTTATTAGGAGAGGAAAAGACTAAAAGAATAATTAACATATTTTATAGTTTAAACTATAATTTAAATGTCATATAAACTCCTTATTAATAAATTAATAAGGTTAATTATTATATAAAATCGTCAAATTATCAATCAAAATTATTTCAAATTCTTTTTTCATATGTTAGAAAATCATAGAAATATTATTTGTCATTGGATAACCAATTGGTAAAAAATTGCAGCAATATATACTACCTTAATTTAATAAGGAATATAAAATTCCGATAAAATGATTTACGTCATGGATTAGCGTACCAGCATCGTTTTCGGCGTTCGGTCTACCGAACTTATAAAAATAACGCAGCGTCTATACTCGGTGTTAGCGAGTACGAGGGGCGAGAAGCAACCCCTTTCTAACATTACACAGCCAATTGGCCACCCTATCGTTTCTTGCACCCCTCTCTCTCTTTCTCTCTCTGGACGCGCTTTCAGTCCGCTTAATTCTTCTTCATCAATTTGGCACATTCTTTCGCATCTCAAAGCGGTCGACCACTCCACGTGTAACGTGTGATTATCCCGATATCGAAAATAAGTAACCAAAGCGTTGTTTCTACGTCGCATTTGTTTTATAAGAAATAATAAAGAAGAATATTATGTTATTAGGAAAAAATGCAAAAATTTTCCAACAGAATCAAGCAGGAATTTTCATTTTTTCCTATGTAGATCTTATTTTAAAATCTCACCTTTTGGGAGAGACGCGCATGGTTTTCAGATAAAAAAGAAATATAGAACAGATATATTTGTACATATATAGGTAAGCACTCGCGTAATCTATGCAACATCGAAAAAAGAAAAATACGTTAGTTATCAGACGTATGATCGCTTAGGAAGGAAATAATTATCCGTTTAAACGCAACACGAGCGCTCGTTCGGTTTTAGATTCGATTCCCCATCATCAAAAATCGCATACCAAATTCAGATTCAGATGGCGATTTTATTTTCCGACGCTCACAATGAAAACCGAGGGGCAACGCGTAGGGCGGGGGATAATCCTTGGCAAAGCCGCGGCTCGCGTGTGTGCTGTGTGGACGAACGCGCGTACGTTTACACGTGTATGTACGTATTGGGGGGTCACGGGTTCTGACCACGATACGGATGTGCCCCTGCCTTCTTCCTGTGCCACGACCATGTTCATGTTCTGGCATTCAACGGAATAAGACCGCATGTCTCCATTGACCGCTCGATCTCTCGATCCATGGCCGCCTTTGGTTGACTATGGATTATCGAAAAATTAACGGACGAAAAATGCTATAGATAATTTGCTATAGATAATTTGAAAAAACATTTACATAAATTGTCGTAATAAAACTAATTGTCGTAACAAACTAATTAGAATCAAAGAGAAATATATGATCTATTTTACAATTAATCCTACGTTCTGTTTTACATTTTGACGGTTACAAAAGAAGAAATAACAATAAATAGAATTGGTTTTAGATGATTTTAGAATGATAAGTCATAAGTTTAATAAGTGACAAATAAGAATATTGAAATATGATATTATTATGTATGTCATTTATTTAAAAAAAATCATTAGTTTATTATACATGTATTATATGGCATGAAATATACTTTATCAAGAAGTATATATTTCATATGTACAATTTATTGCAATAAACAAATAAAATCTAAGAGAGAAAATATCTATAAAACTTGTATGAAATTATACGCACCTCGAGAGGTGCACTATCCAAATATATTCCAGAAAAGAAGTCAGAGACTGAGGATAATCTCATAATGCTGTTACTACGAAATACATACAAAGCTTTTCCTTCATGTTTTTGATATTAACATACCAAATCTCATTTTCGTAGTTCGTTCTTGAAAAAACGCAAGGACAATATACTACACTGGATTACAGGATATGTAAAAATTTTAAACTCAATCTTCATAATTTATATTATAATCATTTAAATCACATTGTTAAAGGAGCAAACTAATATGCGTAAATAATAACAATTGCAGAGCTATGTACATAACAAATCCGCGAAACTCGAGCATAATGATCGCGCGAGGGAAAGAAAGGAAAAAAAAAAAAAAGAAACAAAAGGATAAGCGGGACATTCCGAAGTTAATTAAATTTTCTGTCGCTATCGATATTATAGCTAGATCTATGACGCTTAATAAACGTTTAATAAACGTAACAGATCTTAAGCCGGGCGAACTTGTGGTATTAAATGGAAGAAAAGAACGTGAGGCAGAAAAGAGCTCGCGATGTAAAATTTTCACGCTACCACGACGCACCTCTTGCATTCTGGTACTTGAAAACACGTCCTTGCAGCGCGTTGCACGCAGGACTGCCCGTGCACGCACGGGCGCCACGTGTGTACTCGAAAGTGCGTCGTACGTATACGTGTGCGTGCACGAGGATACGTTTGAAACACGCATGGTCACGGTATTTGACCACCCCAGCTCTCGGAATGATTGTAATCCATCTATCCGGCCACCGAAGCCGATATATCAAATGCAGGTAGAGCTCGCGGTCCTCTCTCCGTAGGCCTTTTACGTTACCTTTTTATGCCGCGGGTATGATCTTTTGTTTTCTCGGTGAATATTTTGTGAGGAAAAATTAGTTACGTGCAGTTTTATCGAATCACATCATCACCCCTAAATTGTAATTTTTTTCATTTTTTTTTCAATTTTTTCACATCATCACCCCTAAATTGTAATTTTTTTAATCAAAATCAGTCGTAACAGCTGCTACTCTTGAAAAATTTGTGCAAATAAATAATTAATATTTTTAAAAGAGAAAAAGAAACGTGCGAGAGAAATTTCAAGGATTGTGACGTATTTAGTTTGAACTGAATTTATGGAAGAAGCATTATATGTCTGTTTTTAAATATTTATATTAGATAAATATTTCTCCACTTGCAATGTATTTTTTTTTCTGATATTAATATCAAGAGAACAGTTAATATCAAGAGAACAATTTATGTACGGTCATCCGAACTGTAATTTTGAAATGGTACTTGTATTCTCGCTGCTTTCTCCGGTAAACCCTCGAAATCGGTGATCATTGCCGGTGCAAGATCCTATCTGTTGCTTTCTAATCTTTAGCTCTACCATGTTTTGCACTTAGGAACGGAGTATCTGTCGCTACAGTCGGCAACAATTTACGTAACGTGATCGCAAACGCATCAATCCGCGGATTATCTGTCACAAAGAGGCAACCAATTATCGTTCGGAGATATCGCTGATATTTCGATAAGTATGATTAGAATGTTGCAGATTAATATGGGTCGCGCCACATTTAATTCCGTTTCATGCGATGACTGCCGAAAGATAACGAAATTATCACGCGCAGTGAAACAGATAGTGAATCGCTTTAAATGTTGTTAAGTAGATTTACGAATTGTTATTAGTTCACAACACACTGCATATTATACACTGCATGTTATTATATCGATGAAGATTAGAAGTCGGCGAGTGCTTTTCAATGTTCTATAAAAATGTACCAGCTTATCTCCATAATTGGAATCTTTAACAATTACAAAACGATTATATCATCGTTATCCAATTTCCATAAAATTTTGTACGATTTACGATTATTCAATCTCTCCTCTCTCTCTCCTCCTCTCTCTCTCTCTCTCTCTCTCTCTCTCTGGGTTCTCTGGAAAATTTAAAAAATTCTATTCTATTCAATCAAAAACTTGCCAGTTATCAAATTTTCAGTGGACATGATTGAAAAAAATTGCAGGATCGGCAGATATAAAAAATTTTAGAAGCAAAATTAAATTTCCTTATTTTGAGATTAAATCATTTTGTTTTTTTTTCTTACTTGTGAAACTATACATTTCGGATTGGTAGCTATTATAATATCACTCAATTTCATTTTTAGTTTAAATATTCTGAAAAGATGCAGCTAAAGCAACTAAAAGACCAACTCTCACAATCTCGTATCGCGATGTCTCGCTCACGGCATGAACCGCAATGCGATTTTTCATGACGCGAGTGCTCACGAGTTAATTCGAGCACCATTCGAAGAATTAATAAAGACGAGCGCCCGGTAATTTACACGCATCGAACATCGTCACAGAAACCATGGCGAGACTAAAAGAGAGAATCCTTGTACGAAGGAGCGAATGTGTCGTGAATCTGTTCTCTTTGTCTTTCTTTTTTTTGTTCCGTTAGATAGAATTGGTCGCACGAGGAACGATACCGCTGACGTAAGATATACGCCGAAAAGGACCGCGCGTTCAATTGGCCAAACATTAAAAGACTGTGATCGAGATTGAACCTTACGTAAGCTCGTTGGTGCAAACAATCCGGAGAGCCGCCGTTCCGTCGCGGTTAATTTTTCGAATTCCATCAAGCTCTCTCTCTCTCGCCGCGGCTTCTCTCTAGGTCCACGAGGACCCTGTGCTCGGTCAGCGATTAAGGTTATCGCCTTAACGGGAAACATACAACAGGAAACGCCGTCGCTGCGTATCTCTGTTACACCCGGTAGATAAAGCTGATCCGTTTGATAAACGCTTGCCGAACTGTCGTCGTCCGTGGCGCGACGCGATATCGCGCTTCGCGGTTAATTATTTGCTATTTCATTTTTACTGTCGTCACGGTCCACGCACGATCGAGACGCGGGATGAGGCACGTTCGTGCGAATTCACGCTAGCTCGCTCAAATTGGACGCGTTTCTCGCAAAATCCAAGTTTTTTATAGTCCGGCAATTTCGTTAACGAATACTTTGAGCATTCGTTTTTATTTAGGAACTCGTTTACTTAATTTGAGTAATTATTAAAACTTTATTAAAAAAGTTATTTATAATGTAAAAAAATATTCCGATAATTATTGTTGATAATTATTATAGATTTTCCAATGTATTCTCTTCCAACTTTTTATTTTAATCTTATCTGCCTACTGAATATCTCAGCCATTTACGTTAGTCCTACAAATGCTAGCTAATGTATCTTTGTAAATTAATTACCGCGCAATTAAAAATCTCGCATACTCTGATAAGGAGTAATTTTTATCGCTTGAGCGATAAAATACTGAATTTTCAAAGAAGAACGGTGTTTCACGCAAAACATTTCTCTGAGCCAACACCTTCAAATTTCTGCGATTCCCGATTCCACTTTGGGAGGCCGAGTGAATTTTCAACCGTGGCGAAAGCCGGATCGATGAGCGAACCGAAATTCCTGATTTTACGACACAGCGTCGTAACCCTTCGCACGTCACAGCAGAGTTACCGCGATATCACTTGGGGCGTTAGCCGGATAAGCCGCTAACTCCATCCACCTGTTGCCCCTTCTTACGCGCTCCCGCTCCTTTCGCGTTCATCTTCATTCCTCGCGTGGAAACAAGACGAGGAGACCCTCGTCGGCCCGTCCTCTTTCGATCCACGTGGACCCTCGGGGCCCGTCGGGGCCACACGTCTCTTTTCCGTCAACGATGGCCGGCCGGCCTTTCTTGATCTTTCTTTCTCGCTCTCCTCGGCACCTTCAGGCATCCCGCTTCTCCGCCCCCTTCTCATCTTTCTCTTTCCTCTTCTTCATCATCATCTTCTTCTCCTTGCTTACTCCCGTTTTCTGGCCCGGGTCTTCAGCGGTCTGACGTGTTTTTTGCGAGTGCATACCTCGAAGAGCTCCCGAAACAGTAGCTGGTACCCCGGTACAGTCAGGGCAAGCGAAAAAATCGCCGGTCGAATCCTTTGCAGCCGATCGTTAGAGATCGATGAGAGAAATGACGTGTAGAGACATTAAAAACTAGGTAGAAGTATAAATACTTCTTTTCCCTCTCGATCTAAATTTGTTGATTACATTTTTGCTTTAATGCTTTAATGTTTTTTTTACAGAATGTTTCTTACAAGATATAATTACAGCAGCAAAAGATACATTGTTAAAAAAAAAGATCAAAGATCATTGAATTGAATTACAATCTAATAGAACGATAAAATGAAAAATGTTTGTTTGATTAAGAATCGAGACTATCATCTTCGAGAAATAATTAATACAATGCTGGCAATCATCGATTATTCAAGGTCGTTTCACACGTGTGAGTGTCGGCTAATTAAATTTTATAATTTCGTATTCATCAATTAAATAACGAGGCTAAATATCCGCGAAAATCGCTGATTGCGAGCAAACACGAACGCGGCAGGAAGTCGCGGAGGATCACGGAGGGTTAAACGACGCCTCGCATCTCGGCTCGTTCTGCCGGCTCGTTCTGCCGCTCGTATTCCACGGAGGCGTCATCGACGATCCAGTTTCCAGACGAAAATCATCGCTCCGCGGTGCATTTCGCACATCGGTGGCGGCGGCGGCGGCGGCGGCGGCGGCGGCGGCGGCAGCGGTTGTTGCGGCGGCGGTGGTGTAGGATTGTCGCATTCTGGGTCCAGTTGACCCTAGTTGACATCGTGGACGGCTTAGCCGTTGGTGTTAAGTTCAGTTCACTCATACATAAATCTAAGTCCGCGCTTATGCCTTAGCCTGGCCGCCGCTCGGAATTGAGCACGTGCTCAGATTTCATCGGCGACGACGCTTAGATCATCCGGCTCGTTCGGCCCGACCGAAACGTCGCAGATTTGACCGCGTTTAGGCGACGCTCCCACCGTGAATTGCCGTCGAAGGCTTTTTTAATCGCTAGATTGTCTCCAATCGCGCATAGTTAATTTGCGCCATGAGTTATTTTCTTTTTCTTTTCTCGAAGCAGAATCCAGTTAATCGTTCACTGCGCGCACATCTTGGTAAAGATGCAACGTTAATATTTAATAAGTATTTCTTTTGATATATTCATATTTTGATATATTATTATTAAAAGTCTAACAAATTTTATTTACCTATATAAAAAACAATTAAGATGTAATATATCAATGGTCTTATATCAATGGTGTGCGACAATATTTTTCGTACAGAGATTAATAAGAGCTGGAAATTTTTATTGTAATCGTCCCTGTGAAAAAGTCACGTGACCATTGGAAGCATGATGTGCCAGGGAATTTTGTCTTTAGAGATTAAGGACAGCAAGAGATTTATATTACCCCGCGGCGATTACCGCACTCTCGCAGGATTATATATAAACGAGCGATGAAATAAACATCACAATAATTTACATAACGTGCTCTTGCAGAAAATATTTTCGCTGTGAAACTTTGCCGAGAACAATATAGAAGCCGGAGAAGAACTTGCCTGAGTAATAAGCGTAAAAATGTACAAATCATGCTTCCTGGTATTAAACTTTCTTTTGCCATCTCCTCGCTATATAAAAAGATTCTTATATTTTATAATGTAGAGCTTATCGAATCTCTCTCTATATAATATGTTCATCCTCTTTTAAATAGAGGCGATCACTTTCCCTTTGATAACATTGTGATAAATACGCCGCATCTTAACGATCCATACAATGATGGTCCTACATAATCAATACCGTTTGACATTGCGTTGAATCTATTTTATTATCGAAAAATAAATATAAAAATAATTTAACGAACTCCCGCAATTGCAGAGCCAAGCGTTGGCATTGACACACAAGGCCTCGCCACCATCGAGACCGAGCAGCGTATCCTCGTTACCGAGGAGCCCTCAGTCTCATCAGTCTCAACAGTCTCAGCAGCAGAACGCATCTCAGCATCCGCCGGTGCATCCGCTGCAATCGCAGACTCCTCTCAATACACCCCAGACACCGTTCTCCGCGCACAATCAGCACCCGAAGCAAGAAATCAACGCCAGTCCCAAGCAGGAGGGCTTTGATCTCAGCAAGACCGCCTCCAGCACAGGTAAGTATCTGTTACATTTTTTAATTTTTATATTGCCTGCATTATGTTTAATCGATTTATTAATTATCTGATAAGAATTGCAAATTAAGGAGCAATTGCTGCGAATCGTCAATATTTTTTTTTTGGTCAAAAAACCTCTTTGAAAACCTCATTGAAGAATTTGGCAAGAAAATCGTTGAGAATTGATATTACTTTATATTAACACAGAAATGTTTTAAATAATTTAATATTTTAAATAATATACGAATATTGCGAAATGAAGAAATTAAACGCTCGTGTTCCGCTCGTTTTCCGTTTCCTCACCCGTTTCTTGTCCCTATGAGTGCATGCTGTATACACCCCATTACCCTGGGTTTTATCCCGGGTGTGACAGCTTGCGCAGGGTTCCCGCGGCCGTAAATCGTCGATTTGTCGGGCGAATTAAGTCACCTTTTACGAGAGACCGGATCGTGCGAAAACAGCTTTAACGTCTTTACAACGTGTAACTCGGTTGAGATTACTCGGATGACGGCAAGGAGGAAAATGCGGTAACGATGCACCGATGTCACCGATGTCCATTAATGCATTCTGCGTCGAACGGAAGCGGCGTTAATCGTCGTCACTGTCTCGCGTCCGGCGAAGGCCGATATAGCTCTTGTGTAATAAATAATAGAGCAAAGAAGGGAAAGCAACGTGATGTACGTTTAAAGTCATGTAATATTCTAGATTTAAACTTTTTTTCATTCCATTCGGATAATATCGATTACTTTGATTAATGAAAGGAAAAGAATAACAATTAATACGTATATTTTTATGTTAAAATACTATTGTAAGCAATAATGTTTTAATTTATAAATAACGAGAATAGACTGAATAGAATTGTTGTCACTACTATATAACTATTGCAAAAAGTTATTATCTAATAATATGTATGTTATATGTTGTTATTTAATAATATGTATGTTACATGAATAATATGGAGAATCTTCAAAATGCTATTATTTTGTTCATAATAATAATCCAGAACTCCGTTGTTTTGTCGCGCATATAAAGTCCACTTCCGTTGAAAATGACAAAGACGTACATACTTGATGGAAGTCGTGCGAGAAGGGTCGTTAAAGCTCGTAAACGAGATAGACTATCGGCGGAATTTCCTTGATCCTCGATAATGCGGTGGAAACAATTTGTACGCGTCCGTTTACAATAAGAATCAAACGTTAACGTATGAACAAAGAATCAAGAAGCACTTCTTAGCTTACTGTAATTTTAAATGATACTAAAATTTATAGAAAGCAACAGCCATAAAATAAAATAAAATTTCCACAGTAATTTATTTGCATAAATGAAATATCTAACAGCAATTTATTAATTATTTTTCCTTCTTGTATCCAAATTATTATTTTAATTTATCTTTTTACAAATAACTCCAAGTGTGTTGGAAGAAATGTATGTGTATTTACAATTCTGTTTAAATTATATTATTATATTTAACAAAATTTAAAAAAAAGTAAATCTAGTTTTTTTACAAGTAGGACATTGATAAGCCTCTCTTCTTTTACTTATTTCCCAAAATAGACAAAGTTATGAGAAGACGAAGAGAATCAATGTCATACTGTAAAACCGAAAGAATGAACATAATTAAATAATTATCTAATCTATCGTGTCACCAAATTTATCATTAAATTTTTACGTTTCTTTACTTTCATCCCTTGGTTATTTCCTTCATAATATTATTGACTCAAGAAAGGGAGATGTTATGTCACACATTTCAGTTTTATTAAACTACATTCTTCCGTGATCCTTTTCTCAGGCTGACTTTTAGAGAGAAATTGGTTTAAGAATTTTTAAAAGATAGAGAGAGGAGATAGTCTCTATAGTTCGGTGGTCCGAGGCGTGGAGGAATGCAGCAAGCAAAAGTACATATTTGCTTTTTCAACCCCGACCTACGCGGGGAGAAAATGGTGGCGTGATGCGATGGGGGATGCGGGCGGACAGAAGCACGCACTTCCTAAATCTACGGATTTCGAGAATCCTCCTTAAATCTCCGCGCATCACAGTTAATCCTTCCCCTCTCTGTACTTGTATAACCTTTTTCTGTCTTCCCCAGTTCTTATCTCCACCTTTCCTTAGTCGAGAGACACTACAGTTTTTTAAATTTTTCAAATTTCCGAAAAATGTGACCTATTTACTTTTAACGAAAAAAATTTATTATCGCTGTACGTATGCAATGGATACAAACTTGAAAAACTCATTCGCAATGACACAAATAAAACAGGATAGTAATGTAATTTAATAATTTTAATAATATTCACCTTTTTTTCTTTGTAATATGTATTTTTTTATCTTATCTTTAATGTCTGAAATGCTATACATGAAAAAGATGCTCGAAGTAGATTGACACATTACAAAAATAAAAGGAACCTATTTGCTTTTTGTCAAGAAATTCATTTCACGTTGGTATGTATCAAAGATGAGCTGGAAAGATGAGATCGTTTGTCCCCTTTTATTCCGCGAGCCGTAAGCGTCAGCTCGGAATTAGGATAATCGTCCGCGTGTGTTCCGTTCGGATTTACCTGGACGTCTATATGCGCGCGTCCATGTGCACGGGCGCAGGGGGCAGACTGCGACGAGGTGCAGCCAGAGGGGAGGATATTGTGACCCTTACGAACTAATCCGGATTAAATTCGAATCCCTGGCTATGCGGCTAGGCGACCTGCGAACATCCACCATAGCGTCTTGCGCCATACGATCGGGGCTCGTTACGCCATTTAACCCTACGCGATACTCCCTCCAGAGAGATCGAGCACCTTTTGTGAGCGAGAAATGCCTTTGAATTCCCAATCATTTTCGCTCTCGTTGGCGTACGAGAATAACGCGTACGTAAAACTCTCGCAGCATAAAAGTTTTGATTTAGTAATCCCCAAAACTTGCGCGATGCAAAACCCGGTCAGGAAATATATTCGCGTGGGAAAGACTCACAATGAGTATTTGACATACTGTAAACTTAAAAACGATTGCAGCTTCGTATTAAACGTAATTTACATTCACATTCATAACTACTCTTTGTTACGCCCGCAAAAAACAGTTTTGTTGGATTGAAAAATTTCATTTATGCAGTTTTAACTTGTTTTAATTTTCGGAAGTTGTTCTATTATTTACAAATAACCGGAGTATCGCGAGGTATAAATAATATAGCGATGTGTGAGATAATATTTAACGAATTTATATATTTTTCACAGCATGAAGTGAATTTACAAATTACGAGAATATTTCGAACTGTGTTTGATTACATAGATTTGGAAATGTATTTTATTTATAAAAATATGTGTGTAGTAAAATTATATATTTAACATTTATAGAAATGTAAAAATAGAGAAAGTATAAAACGATATAAAAAAGTTTCTCAGAATTTTACAGCAAAAAAAACGCATCGATTAATTAAGATGTCACGATAATATAGGGCATATAAATTCAATATAGAATTCTGCTATCTTCTTTTATTTTTCTCACGATTCGGGAATGATTCTTTCGCAATTCAAGAATGATTCTCTCACAGGACGCCCTGTATACGTTCTAGCTTTCAACCTGACCACGCGTTAAGCCAAAGGCAAAATCGATATCATAACTCGCGGAGAGCAATCGTGGACCGTATTGCGAATGGATATTTCTCACATGTATAGAAGCGTATATGTGCGTATGCGTCTTTATTCTTGCGGTTCTTACATTCGAGATCTGCCCTACATTTAGTACTACCGAGCAAGACATTACAAAACTTTATTCTTACAGATGCAAAGACTAGTGACAAAGTGAAAAAAACTTTTTATATTATTTCATAATCCACTGTTCACGCTGCTAACACTGCACTCAAATTCTTTCGGAATTAACAATCGCAAAATATAACTTATAACTTTGTAAATTCCTATTCCTATCTTGTATTTATAATTTTGTTTTAACATATTGTGCACACTTTTTGCAGTTTTTGTTTTCCAAAAGTTAATCCAAAGTTAATTTTCTTAGGTATTATTTTGAACGAATGATATTTTAATAAACATTTTTAATGAGATAAACTTTTTGTTTCCATTCGAGTACATTATTTGTTGAATTATAATTTGAAGTAGAAGTCTTCTATCCTGTAATTCGTAATGTGACTGTAAGAGAGATTTCGTTAATTATTTGTCGTGACGCACAGCCTGGGTAATGAAGATTGTAATGTAATTGCGAGCGCAACGAAGCCTCAAGTCCCACTTAAAAGTCACTTAAATTTCCTGAATGTCCTAGTCGCATATTATCCGTGATGTCATCGATGTCTTGGACAATAGGCATGTATTATATATAATCCTGATGTCCATTTATCCTGATGATATTTAATCTCGTAATTTCGATCTTTAAATCTATCATCTATGCACCATACCTTCTATGCACCTTTTCTATTCTCTATCTATTCTCTTTCTATTCTGTTCGTACACAAATATTTGTTTTAAGCAATACATGCCACGCATGATACGATAGTGATTGATGCAATAAAACTTTCAATTTTTTATAAAATTGAATCGTTGCTATTGAACGTTTTCAAATTTTCAACCAAATTCATATTCTGCTGACGATTTAGAGAACATCAATTTTATTGCTTCTATTAAACGCGAAATTATGTAATAAAAGATTCACAAAGATCTTGGCTCAAATATCGACATGACGATGCTCTTTAATGTCGATCCGCTCGAAAATCAGCACCTTAATCGGATAGCAAAAATAGGACACGTGTGCTTTCAGGCACACCCTGTAGACAACGTTCCGAACTGTCGGTGAAGAACACATAGGATGAGAGTGAGGGAAGCGAGATGAGGGCGAGGTGAGGTGCAGGCGAGAGAGGGTGAAAAGGGGGTGGGTTAGGATTAGCTGAGTTGTGTGCGTTGGATTTTGGATTTGGACGGCGGGCGGCGCACACACGACCAATAATCCCGGATTAATCCCAGACTCACGTGTACGCGCGTACGCACACGGACGCAATTCGCGCGCGCGCG